GGAATTCTGGGAGTTGAAGTCCACGAGTCATAAAAGAGCCAAGGTTGCCTACCTCTGCTTTAGGCAAATCTATTTCGCCTATGGAACTGGAAGACTTAACAATTGCTTCTTAGTTTCTTTTGGAACCTGGTGGAGTACAACTAGGATCCATGATTACTGATCATCCTTTTTACTCAGTGACCATATGCCAGTGGATTTGTTTTGGAAGGGACCTAGAGTATAATAAATAGGATGCTAACGGGTATTGAGTTTCAGGTGGAATTCATTTGGAATTGGCTGATCTTTGATCTAGATTTCTTTGTGGGTGTGGGTCTTTTGCAAGGAGTGCTCTAAGTCCAGTAAAATAAGGTCTCCTCCAGATCAAGATCCTCCAGATCCAGAACCATTTGAGTCCTCCTTGGATAATCTGGAGTTGATTCTTTTTCTCTGAAGCCCCCCCCCCCCCCCCCCGTGTCCAAGGCAGAATTGGAGAAAGGTGTGCCAGATATTCTGTTTGTTTGTTCCGTGCGGTTTTGGAATCTTTCTTCCTGCCAGAGGTATGTCCTGCTGAACTTGGACTCATCAGAGCTTGTGATGAGCTATTTCTACTGTATGGACTCAGAACACCCTCGTGGAGTTTGTAATTCATTTGATGTTCTTTGGAGGAAGAGAAAATTCCTAACTTCATGTGCAACTTCCATCTCCCACACAGAGATTGACATGCTGGCCCATATCGAGGAGCACCATAGTTTTGGCTGCAATTCCACAAACTATGGACTTGGCTCAAACCTTACCTCCTTTGGGGGATGGATTGCGTTAAAAACTACTACAAGAGATGGATTGGCCGAGATAATTTAAAACAAGCCAAGTTGAGGCTTTGATAATTCTCACCATCCTCCATCGACCATTCTACGCCTTCACCATCAACATCTTCGCCCCATTGCCCGGGGGGAAAGCCAGGTCATTACCATTTTTCTGAGGGCCAGTGGGGAGAGGGGCCTGTACCTGGGTGGGGGGGAGCCGTTCTGTAAGATAGGCACCATAAGAGAGAAGAGACACTTCCTAGCCCCTACCAGTTGACCATTACACAAAGGGGAGCTGAAACACGCCCATCCTGGCCAGATCTGGCAGGATGGGCAGAAACCATGAGGAAAGGTGACCTACTGATTCACCTGGACACATGTCCCCTTTCGAACAGGGGTCTCCAACTCCCGGCCCACTACCTATTTGAAACTGGGCCCCGCAAACGCCAGCCCGCCACTCGCACAGCCTGGTTCCCTCCCCCCAACCAGGCTGCCAAGCCGCAAAGGTTGGGGACCGTTGCTGTAGAGCTTTAAAGATGACCACCTGCACTCTGAATTGCCCAGGGAGCACACTGGGGGGGGGGGCTTGCCTAGGCCAGTGATGGCGAACCTTTAGAGACCAAGTGCCCAAACTGCAACCCAAAACCCACTTATGCATCGTCGGGTGCCGGGTGGGTGTGGCCCATTGGCTGGGTGTGGCCCATTGGGTGGGCATGACTGCGGTGGTAACAGCAGACTGGGTGAGACTAAAAAGTTCAAACAATCAATTCCAACTTTGCAAGATCTTTTTTTTCCCCGCGAGAAGTTGAAATTGACTGATTGATTGAAGCTCTTTTTTTTGCACATGGCGGCGGAGGCCTAAAGCGAAAAGGTTTTATAAAACCCAGGTGAAGGCCTAGGACTGGGGCGATGGCGCGCGTGCCCACAGAGAGGGCTCTGAGTGCCGCCTCTGGCACCCGTGCCGTAGGTTCACCACCACTGGCCTAGGCAAAGAACCAGGTCTTTAGAGCCTTACAAAATGCCAGCAGTGCTGGGGCCACGTGAACCTCTGGACAGAGAATGTTCCATAGGGTTCACGTTGAGTGCATTACGATTAATTAACTATAACTGTGATGTAACCAATCCAACGGAAGTGATAATATGCATGTCTTTGTAGCCCCAGCCCTGTTCCAGGTTTTGCCTCATGATCTCTCCTTATCCAACCTATCAATAAATCAATTTATACATCAATGTAGGTGTGCCTTGGTGTCTCATTTAAAATACTCTTAAGGGAAAAAAATCCTTTAATGTAAAATTAAAAGATCAGACACATAAAAGGAAGCAAGAGTTATGTTTAATTATGACTCAAGGTCTGGATTGAAGTTAGGAACAGTTTTACAGTGCCTGCTTGGGAGTTTTACAATACAGCTTTGTTAAGAAGATATAATGAAAGCAGGTGGCCGGATCCACTTTGCGGCCAGCATGTCTGAGCAACTGTTCTGAGGATCTAAGCATTTAATGTAGATTTGACACGGTCCTGAATCTCTCTGGAACTGCCCAAGCACAAATCCTCCCAAGAGATCCATTCTTTTTAAATTGGTTCACACAGTTTACGTAATCAAAAGTGAAGAACAATCTTTAGACTTACAAATGATAAACTTAAAAGAAAAAAAAAGAGAAAAAATATTTGAAGACGTAATAATCTACCTTTTAGCACTTCAAAAGAGGTGGAGAGATTAACATAATTTATAATCACAGAATGTCTTCCACTATAGACAATGCAATTATTGCTGTATGAAAAAGTGAGAAATTTCAAGCACTTTCAATATTGAAAATGCTGCCCAGGCAAGATAACTGTTTGAAATACAACTGAAGCAAAAAAGAAGTATCTTTCCTTGATCCCCAATTTCTTAAAAAAATGTCTTTGTCTACGTACATTTTAAAGATGACAAGCTAGCAACTGATTCTGCAAGAAGAAAACTACCTGAGCACTTGAAAAGTGCAATCATGTTTACTGCAAACGGACAAGGCAAAATGGTCTGTACACCTGTTTTCAGCAAGTGCCAAGGCAGATCTGCAAGATTTTTTGTGCGTCCCACCATCAACCCAGAAGATTTCAACAGGAAGCACTAAATATGTTAATGTAGTTGCTTCATCAACACTGACTTCAAAATGGCTTCAGGAAAAAAGAAACCCTTTATGACACTGAAGAACAAAATGCTAGTAAATTTCACTGTTGCCATGAAAAATTCCCACTATTGCTGACTGATAAATGAACTCAGCAGTCTATCCTGACATTAATCAAGTAATTCAAATATGATTCAATCTGATGATCCGATTTCTGAATGGACTTTTGTTACATGCTTCAAGAAAACAAAAATTACCAATAAAACCAATTTATTTATATATATACACACACACACACATATATGTATATATGTATATATTTTAAAATAGATATAATCAGAAATTCTAGAGAATTTCTAGAGAAACATATGAAGCATGATGGTGTAACTCTTGTTTTGCATATAAAGCAGTGCAAATGCCACTGGGTAGGAACAAAAACATTACCAATGGATACACAATGATTTCCATTTCCCTGAAATATTTGAACCAGAACCTAAGTAATCATAAAAACCAATCTTAAAATCAAGTCTCAGATACCAGAGCAGCTGCCCTTAAACTGCTCCATTCCCTGAATTTCCAAAGATTGCATTACAAAACACCATAGTGCAAGGTTTAAACAGAAGCCTGCTCAGTCCCTTCAGCTCAGCTGAGCAGGCCTCCACCCTGATACCTGAACACCAGCCAGACACAGCTGATGCATACGAAAGCTGATAGACACACACACTTCCCTCTCTTTCTTTCAAAGTGCATTTTTAAGAGGAACTTGTAAACAGAGAGCTCAATTTAAATGTTGCGCACGAAAATCTTCTTACTTTTGCAAGCAGCAATTGTGTGCACCGTAGTAACTTGAGAAAATACTACCAGCCTGAAGAGACTGTGGGTGGCTTGGGGTGAAGAAAGATCTCTGTAGAGCTGGAACATCTCCCTTTCTTAATCGGTGAGAGCAGGGAGGAGATCTGCTATGCTATCTACGTAGTAATCAGGGACCAGGCTTTTGCGCTCAGGACAGTCACTGTTGAGATGGCCTTTGACCTCATCTAGTGTGGTGACCCCAGTGAGAGTGAGGAGGGTTGTCAGCCCGCAGGTGTTGCCCATGAGGATGTCTGTGTCCAGGCGGTCACCAACCATGATGGTGCGCGCAGGGTTAATCTTAAACTCGCTGGCCACACACTCAAACATGAAGCGGCTGGGCTTGCCCACAATGAATGCTTCCCGCTCTGCAGCTGTCTCCACTGCCTTGACGAGGCAGCCCGTCCCTAAAGAAAGAAAGAAAGAAAGAAAGAAAGAAAAAATGAAGAAACCAGCAGGCAAAGTGGGGGGCCAGACGCAATAGCAAGGAACTGGTGCAATCCTGAGCAGGGCATACAACTTGGTATTTAGTATGATAATAATAAAAAAAAAACCCTGTATAGTTGCAATTGGGGATGTCCTGCCCCTTTGGTCTGAAGCTGACACAACTTGTTTGCAGCGCCTTCGCTCATGCTTTTGTTTTGCCAGATTGCATGATGCCGCTATGCAATCCTAGAAAATATGCCACTTTTTAATGGAGGCACCACAGAAGTGGTGTGCTTGCACCTATGCCTGCTCTGAAGGACCTTTTCGGCTTCAGATCCATCCCCAGTTCCAGGGAGTGATGGCAACACCAGAAGGAAATGCATATATAAAATGTGGCACAATTATCATTCCAAATATCAACTGAACAATGAAAAAGCAACAGACAAACAGGCTTCAGGACCACAGAATTTAAGAGACCCCTACTTGTTATCCCAGGAAAAGAACATGGATACTCGAAATGGGAGATTTTGTTTTTGAACTTAAAATAAATATATTGCGTTTGGTAGGTCCTGGGCGGACCACCATCTAGTTGAATGCTGTGGGAAGTTGAAGCGAGTTCATTTTATTTATTCTTGGTCTCGGCTAAAACAATAAGTGGTCTTATGAGGTAAGTGGGTGAAGGCCCATTTCTCCTCTCCTGTTCTGAAAGTCCCATGTGCCACCCATTAACCGATCTTCCCAGCATTTTTCATTCCCTACTTCTCCTTAGTTATGTTTCAAGCACAGAATACTTAATATTCTCGTGTGCACACCACTCTCTCAATCTTCCTAGCCATGCATGGAATATTTTATGCCAACACAAATGGTGGAACTGGGACAGGATAACTTGTTAAATATCCCATCTATAGATCAAAAATATTTTCTAATATGTTTGAACTTCAGGAACATTGGATGAAAAAGCAGGATACAAACCAATTAAGGAGAAATAATAAGTGATTATATTATTCTACGTGTGGCCTTAATCCAGGGCCTGAGAATGGGGCTTTACTGCTGGGGGAGGGGAGAGCTGTGTGCTGCTTCCACCAGCACAATTCTGAGAAAGAAACTCTCCAGTGTAATTTAATACAAGGTTGGTTGTTTAGGGATCGTTATGCCTTTCCCCATCAGGATTAAAGTGAAAGAGGTTTAGCATGCAGGTCACGGGCTCAACCTTTTACGGGAGGAAGGCAAGAGCTGTGACTTCGCAGAGCCTTGGACTGCTAGCCAAGCCAAAGAGGCTTCCGGAGCCCCCTCAAGTACAGGTAGTCCTCGACTCACAACCATTCATTTAGTGACTGTTCAAAGTTACAACAGCACTGAAAAAAAGTGACTTACGACCGTCACAGCATTCCCACGGTCACCTGATTGAATTTTGGATGCTTAGCAACTGACACACATTTATGACGGTTGCTGTGTCCCGGGGGTCACACGATGACCCTTTGTGACCTTCTGGCAAGCAAAGCCGGATTCACTTAACAACCGGGTCACCAACTTAACTGCAGTGACTCACTTAACAAATGTGGCAGAAGAGGTGGTAAAATTCACTTTAAAAATGTCCTCGCTTAGCAACATAAACTTTGGGCTCCACCCCGTGGTTGTAAGTGGAGGACCACGTCTGCACGTTGCCCAGAACGACCCCAGGCTGGCTTCCTTCAGTCCTCTTGTGGAAAACGAAAGAACTCTTACGAATTCCGGAGGGGTTAGCAGAGTTTAATTGCGCAAGGTCCAGAGCATATTAGAGATAGGCAATTCTGAACGAGGAGGGCGGGATTAGACTTCAGTTTTTATACTCCCCTCCTTAAAGAACAAAGGGCTACACATTGAAATTCACACTGTGATACATTAGGAGCGTTTCTCACAGGCATACAATGGAAGGTTTTGCTACATACAAAGTATCCATGTGCAGAGCGCATTAGGTTGCCACATATTACTGACAGAGAACTTTCCCAGTGGATTTTCCCAGTGATTATGCATTACATCATTGTTCTAGCAATTATGCAGACACATCATTATTGCAGTTATGCAGACAAATCATTATTCTAATAATTGTTCAATTTACTATATTATTCTATTATTCTAGTCCCTCCCCGACCACCTCCCGGGCTACCAGCCAGCTGCAACGGGCGGCGACTCCAGCGCAGGCGGGCCGCCCGGGGCAGCCAGAGGCGGGGCGGGTCGGGGCGGGCCAGCCCTACAGGGCCCGGCGGAGGGCGGGGGAGTCCGGCCCCCGTGGCCGCACGTACCGGGCACGGCGCTGCCGCCCTCGAGCGGGAGGCGGTTGTCGCGGTTGGTGCCCACCAGCAGGCAGCCGCGCCCGTCGCTGTCCCCGCGCAGCAGGTAGCGCAGCGCCAGGCAGAGCTTGCCGTAGCCGAAGTGCTCGTCGTAGCCCACCAGCACGGCGCGCACGGCGGGCTCCAGCGGGGCGCGCGCGCCGAAGTGGGCGGAGCCGGGCTCGGGGGCGGGCCCGACGCCCAGGTGCGCCACGCCCAGCGCCTCCAGCTCCGCGCTCAGCGCCGGCCCGCCCAGCACGTAGGCGGCGCCGCCCGGCGGCAGCGCGCGGCTCAGGTGGCGCGCGGCGCAGTAGGCGGAGCCGAAGACCTGGCTGGGCTCCGCGGGCGGGAAGCCCAGGCGCCGCAGCTTCTCGGTGTAGGCCTGGCGCGTCCGCGAGGAGTTGTTGGTCACGTAGCAGAGCCGCTTCGCGCCGCGCGCCTCCAGCCGGTGCAGCGTCTCGGCCGCGCCGGGCAGCGACGCCTCGCCCCGCCACAGCACGCCGTCGCAGTCGAAGAGGAGCGCCTCCGCCTCGGACAGCACCTGCCGCGCCAGCGCCGCGTCCAGCCGCCGACACTCCTTGGCCGCCATCGCGGGAGGGCGGATGAGAGGACGGGCGCCGCGCCTCGGCGCCTCACGAGCTCCGGCCGCGCTCATTGGCTGGGGGGCGGGGCGGCCCGCCCCCGTGCGGCCCCGTCTCCTGCTCGTCCGCGCACGAGGGCTTCGGCGAAGCCTCCGGAAACCGGATCCGGCGCCGCTGATTGGCTGCCCGGGGCGAGGCGCGCGTCGGTTGGCCGAGCGAAGAGGAAAACCGTCCGGCCCTCGCCAACCATTGGCTGTAACGCCGCGCAGGCCCCGCCCCTGCAGGTGAGCCGCCCGCAGCCGCCCTCGTCTTCCCGTTGGCTGAGCGCCTGCCCACCGAGGCTGCGACGGGGCTCGAGCGATCCCGCCTCCCCGCGGCGCGGGCCCGTTGTTATGACGACACGGCCGTAAAGCCGCCATCTTGGTGGTTGCGGCGCCTTGCGACATGGAAGCCGCGATGGCAACGGGCGCTGGGCCGGCGGGGCTTACGGCAGCTGGGCCACGGGGACGCGAGGGCGCTGCTGAGGCGGCGGCAGCGGGCGGCCTCCCTCCGTCTCCCGCCGCCGCCGCCTTCCTCAGCCTCCCGACGCCTTTCCAGGAAGAAGGTACTGCCGCCCGGGGGAAGGCGGGGGAGGGGGCGCTTCAGGGCCCTCCGGGGGAAGCGGCGGCTGTTCTTGCCGCGGGGACGGACCTGCCCTCGGAGCGGCGAAAGGCGCCGCGGCGGCTCCCGTCCACGTCACGAGATCCGGCGGAGGCGGATCGGCGCTGGGCCCATCGCGACCCAACTCCCTCCTGCCCCGGTGGAGCCTCTCTGCGGAACCTTTCGGGCGGGGGTGGGTGGGTGGGGGATGTCGTCGGTCTGGCGGCGCGGCGCAGCCCCGATCGGTTTGTTGTGAGCTGGGACGGATGCTGAGCGCTCTCTGCGGCAGCCTACCTGGCAGGGGTGTTGTGGGGAGAGAAGGGGAGCGCGGCAGGCGCAGGCAGAGGAGCCAAGATTAGGGGAGGGGGCCTCTTTTCTGGGCTTCCGGGGTAGGGGGGGGCTCCCTCTCCGCCAGGTGGGCTCTTCTGCTGAGGGCCTTTGAGAGGCCTCCGGGCTGGTGCAGGTGGCAGGAAGGTAACAGTAATGGAGTTGGGAGGGACCTTGGAGGTCATCTAGTCCAACCCCCTGGCAGGAGACCTATACTGTTTCTGAGAGATGGCTGTCCAGTCGGAGGAGGGGCAGGATGCTCTTCCGACACTCTCTGGGCCTGTGTTGGGGGTTGATCTTTGTGAAGATGGAATCCCAGGCTGGCCTTAGCTTGGCCATGACCAGCTTTATGATTATTTAGGCAGCATCTTGATCCGCTGTTTTTCTCCTGATCGTAAAAAAAAAGAAAAGAAAAAAAAGCTCAATTAGAGGTATTAACTCCATGTTTTGCTTTGGAATGATTGGCAATGTTTAAACTGCTGCTACTGTTTATTATCCCAAGCCTGTAAATACTAATATTGGGATGAATACAGCTGCTGAGGTTGGTTATTTGAGAATCTCCTTTTCATGCTGTCTAAAATGTGACAGGGTCCTTGGTTTGTTTGTTTTTTGCATTCTAGATGAAGATGATAGGCACAAATGTGGTCGCTGCCAATCCGAGTTCACTTCTTTGGAAGAATTCGTGCAACACAAGTTGCAGAAGCTTTGCCAGCGGCCTCAGGATGCAACTGCAGCAGCAACCCCGGCAAGTTTCTCAAGGCAGCATCTTAGCTCTGCTTACCAGACATGTGATCTCACTGGGGACCAGGGTGGGGGTGCAAGCTGGATAAATAAGGAGCTTTGTAGGCTCAAATGACTGCAAAATGCATCACCTCATCCGTACAAGGAATATTAGCAGAAGATCTTATGGCAAATGCTGTTTCTATCATTTCCAACAGTGTAAATTTTATTAAAAGATATTTTGGAACATCCTTATCACAATAGGTGTATTCATATTAAAGCTTCATTTGTTCCATCAGGTGATTTCGTCAGTTGAAGCGCCTATAACCGTAGCTCATATAGTTGTTGAAGCAGCTCCAATAACAGAAGAAATCAGCAATGTACCTGAAATTGTAGGTATGTCCACCAGCCACTTAAATAACTTTATTTTAGGTAATCAGTAAGCCTGTTGTGGGTATTTAAAGGAGAGGAATGTAACAGGAAGGATAAATGCTTTTCATGCAGAAGATCCCAGATTCAGTTCCTGGCATCTCCAAGTATTAGGAAGGAATCCTCTTGAAGTGATGCTGCTGTTAATCAGTGCTGGCAGTAGTGGATTAAAGGACAAATGGTATGGTGTCATGTGCAGCCATTTGTGTGTCTCAGTACTTTTCCATGATTTTGAATAAATGTAATCATCAAAAGTTAGGTCCTCTGAAGATTAAATAAAAACATATTCTTCTCAAAAAGTGCAGTGAAAATGAAAATGCCATGCCATGAATTATTAAGATAATATCTTAAAGTTGTTATATAAATTTATGTTGATCTAAGGTTATCCGGAGCTCGGGAAAACCCAGGAGAGAGAAACCAAAATGGTAGTTTTTCCCTGAAGAAAAATAAAGATTTAAAGCTTTTTATTTTAGAAAAGGTGTGACAGAGCATTATTACGTTAGTTTATTATTTAGGGGAATGAATGGTTAGAAGTCATGCAGGTCCTTTCGTTCTACTAAAATTTGAGCATCGATAGACAAAATGCTTTTGAGAATACAGAATAATGGTGAGATTGCTAGCTGAGATGAAATGTATTGATAGATTCACATAAGGTTATTTGTCCACTAAATAATATGTTTTGATGTGATCCAGAATAAATTCATATGAACATCGCATGGAAGTGCTTTCTCTACTCACAGAACCCTTCCAGTTCTGCCAAGGCCTGCAGAGGGATTTTGCTTCAGCCTGAATTTAATGGCAGAAACCACTCCATCATGGGAGCGTATCCAGTATGGCCACCCAAAAAGTGCCATTAGCTGGTTATGGAATGGGGTCTTCTGTAAAGAATCTAACTGGCTTTGGGCCTCTTTGCAGGTAGTGGGCAAATCAAGGAGGTTGTTGTAGGTGCAGATCATGTCTTTGAAAGCCCCAACGGCCCCAGTGATGAAGATGGTGGAATTAATCAGAGTAATCCAGGAGGCCCAGGGGAAGGTGCTTCTCTGGAACTTATCAAAGTTAAACTGCTGGTTAATAAGGAAGGTCGTTACGTCTGTGAACTGTGCCACAAGACATTTAAGACGGTATGTTAAGGATTTTAGCAATGTTCATGGTACTGCTAGATAAATGATTAATTAGACGATGCTAGTGAGACACAATCATTCTTGCCTCGGGTGAGAAAAGGCAGCAGCGTTATAGCTTGAAGTGTCACGTTGTTCTTAAAACTAAAACCCCGTGTCCGGCAGCACCACAAACATTTGTATCCTTTGATTTCAGGCCAGCATACTCAAGGCTCACATGATCACTCACAGCAGCAGGAAGGACTACGAGTGTAAGTTATGCGGGACATCTTTCAGGACCAAGGGCTCGCTGATCCGACACCATCGCCGCCACACAGGTGAAGAGAGGACTTGGTCGGCTGTATGTAGTGACTCGGTTATTAAGCAACTTTCAAAAGTAGGACTAAAAAGAGCCCAGGGGAAGGCATTGGGAGTTAAAGGGGATTTGAACTGCTAGGGTGAGGGATTTGCATAAAAAGGATTCCAGGATTAATTCCCGATGCTTAAGCATTTACCTTGCCCTCTGTGCTCCCACTGTTGGAAAGCTATATATAGGCCTCACAGCAGGGTTGGCAGCAGAAACTTCACCCGGAGGCGGTGGAGCCAGGTTCTTCCGTAAAGTAACTTTCCTTTGGTTTCTCTAGACGAGCGTCCTTACAAGTGCAAGAAATGTGGGAAAAGCTTCCGGGAATCAGGAGCTTTGACTCGACATTTGAAATCCTTGACACCCTGCACTGAGAAAATCCGCTTCAATATGAATAAAGAAATAGTTGTTAGTAAAGAGGATGTAGGCTCAGGTTAGTGAAAAAGCTCATGGCCTCCCCTGCTTATCCATGTCTTGCCTTTGGGGGAATGAAATAGAACTTTTGCGATTTGGCATGAGGTGAGGATGGGCACAGGAGATTTATACAGTATTCAGTGGAATATCCGTAAATGAGGAAACATTAATTCACAAAAGAAAGGAAGGAAAAAACTGCCTGAGAGAAAAGGCATGTTACGGTATTCAGGATGAAAGGAGGTGCTAGGGAATTACGACTTAGACATCACAGATGACGTGAACCCCAGCTGTTGGCGGGAAGAGGCAACGTGGTAGGTCACAGATGAAATAGATCCATTTGGACTGAGCATATATTCAGAAAAGCCAATAAATTTTCTGGATCTTGCCTTCTGGATCTACTGAGAGCCATTGTTCTCTACATCAGAAATGGACTTTGAGGGTCTGTTTTCTGCCAGTTTCCATAATGGGATGCTGAAAGAACTGGGAGTCTTAATCATGCCATTTACAGAAGCTGGCCTTAGGTTCAGGAAGCACGTTGTCAGTGGATAATATCCTTCAGGTGAACAGATTCTTCTGGATTAGCGAGGCAATAAATAGCACAAAAAGAAAATAGTGCAGGAATTTGATGAGTGCTGATGATCAGACAGAACAGAAATAAGCCCTGGAGAACAGTCTGGAGAACACCAGTCTGGAGAACACCACACATTTAGTACGGGCAGATAAATCTAGCCACTGTAGTGACCAGTGCACTGAGCTGTTTTTGTTAATGTGCTACGTGAACCCAGGTAATTAGATTCAGCATGTTGTACAAGTCTAGAACGTACTAATTCAGTTTCCGGTTATTCAGATCGATGCACAGGCAGGTCAGCAAAGCAACAAGGACTCATGAAGAGACACAGCCCAAAATTAACCCTAGTCAGTCCAATATGCTGTACCATAAACTAGTCTTCCCTGCTTAGCCAGGCTTTGTGTGGGATCCCGGCCTCTGGGGAGATCTCTTGGGGTTTACCTGGTCATAGTTCAGGTACACTCCTGCACTGTGGTCAGGATTCTGCCTTGTTTCAAGGCCTTAGGCAAGCATTGGTCCACCAGAGAACAGCACTGGTGTCCCATAGTTGTGTGAAAGCTTTCTCTGAAGGCTCAGGGGTTGCCTTGTGCCCCTCTGGCAGGGCAGTAACCCAAGTGAGCCCGAGGGAGCTGCTGAAGTGCTTTGCTTTGCTTCCCTTGAACCCAGCCACTGGCGGCGCTCTTAGCTGTGTGCTGCTTTTCTTGAAGGGGCCAGCAGCTCCAGCAGCGAAGCCATTCCCTCGCTGGCAGCTCCATCTTTGGAGGCCTCGCCTGTAATCCATCTGGTGACGGATGCGAAAGGGAATGTCCTCCATGAAGTCCACGTCCAGATGCAGGAGCTCCCCGTCTCGGAAGCCAAGGCGATGGGACAAGAGGTTAGTGCAATCTGTGGTTGGGGGAAACGTCATCTTGTAGCACCAGGAGAAGGGGTGGTTCCCGCCCTGGTCATCCTGAAGCAGCCACCCAGAAAGCCCATCATAATAACAACTCACTGCTTGAGGTTGGTCTTGAGAAGGAGCTGCAGTGCACTTCAACCATCACTCAGCCAAACAAAACTCTCGGAGCTCCAGACCTTGGTTGGGAAGGAGAACGACATTTTGAAGGGTTCCCGAAGTCAAAACTATGAGAAATGTTGGTCAGAAACAACAGCTTTTGGGGTTCTAGGTCTGTGATGGCGAACCTTTTAGAGACCGAGTGCCCAAACTGCAACCCAAAACCCACTTACGCATCGTTGAGTGCCAGGTGGGTGTGGCCCATTGGGTGGGTGTGGCCCATTGGGTGGGCGTGGTTGCGGTGGTAACGGCAGACTGGATGGGACTAAAAAGTTCAACCAATCAGTTCCAACTTTGCAAGATCTTTCTTTTCCCGCGAGAAGTTGAAATTGACTGAACCTTTTTTTTTTTGGCACGGCGGCGGAGGCCTAAAGCGAAAAGGTTTTATAAAACCCAGCTGAAGGCCTAGGACTGGGGCAACGGCGCGCGTGCCCACAGAGAGGGCTCTGAGTGCCGCCTCTGGCACCCGTGCCCTAGGTTCGCCACCACTGTTCTAGGTTAAAGGTAGATGTTTTTCCTTCCTGCTTAGCAGTCATTGTTGCTGCACCCTTATTTTGTTTAGTCGTCCAGTCTTGAAGAGCTGTCCCCTGACCAGGAGGACAATGAGAACTTGCTGAGAGAAGCCATGAGGAATTCTGGAATCGTGATTGAGCGAGTTTCCATAGAGGAGGGTGCCAAATCCAATGAAAACGGTATTGCTGCTGCTGCGGATTTAACGAACAAAGAGGAGGAGAAATTGTGCGAAGAGCAGTATGTGGAAATTGAGCACATAGAAGCTGTAAGTTCCATCTTTCAGCCCTGGCAATTTAAAGGCAGCTTGCTTGGCTTGCTGCCAGATGTGTCTTTCATAGTTCGTGCTGTGTTGTGGTACCACTGAATGTAAGAATATAAGGCCTCTTGAGTTTGCTTTAACTTTTCTCTTGTCATCTTCACACAATTCAAGGTTTCTCTCAGTCAAATGCGCACGTAATTTATGCTGGGCTCCCTCTGTTTCATAGCCAGATCCTGAAGCAACCCATGAATGTAAGCGACATGTCTGCCCTTATTGCAGCGAAATCTTCAGGGAGCAGAATAGCCTCGACCTCCATATCAGTGGACATCTAGGTAAGACGGCATCCTCTTAGTTTCCTCCAGTGTCCTGCAGGCAAAGCCCTGCCTTGCATTCCCTAAAGCAGTGATAGCGAACCTTTTAGAGCAGTGGTTCTCAACCTTTTTAATGCCGCGACCCCAACCGGTCGTAAGTCGAGGACTAAACCGGTCGTAAGTCGAGGACTAAACTGGTCGTAAGTCGAGGACTACCCAACCGGTCGTAAGTCGAGGACTTTCCCTGCCTGGGAGCGCCACGCATGCGTGGTTCTGCCCCCTGCGCCGGCCGAGGCGTAGCTGGCAAGCGGCAGAGACGGAGCAGGCCGACCACCAGCTGGCCCAGCCCAAGGGAGGTAAGGCACCCGCCGGAAAAGGGGGGAAAAAATGGCGGACAAAAAAAATGGCGGACAGCCTTACTTGGCGACCCCCATGAAATGGTCGATCGACCCCAAATGGGGTCCCAACCCACAGGTTGAGAACCACTGTTTTAGAGACCGAGTGCCCAAACCGCAACCCAAAACCCATTTATTTATCGCAAAGTGCCAGGGCCGCATCAGCATTATGGTGCCCTCGGGGGGGGGCAGAGAGGCACCTCTGAGTGCTGCCTCTGGCACGCAAAAACCAGGGGCGCAAAAATGGGCCACCGTGCTGCAAGGTGCAAAAACGGCCGCGGCAGCGCCGTGGGGTGCAGATACAAGGCGCTGCACCAAGCAAGAACGGGGCAGGGCTAGTGAGTATCACGCAGGCACTAGCCCCGCCCCATTTGCAGCGCGTGTGTGCTCGTGGCCCCGTGCACGCATGCACACATGTGAAATGCTTTCCCCTCCCTTTTCTTCCAGTCCACCAATCGACAATGGTTGGTGACCTCTGCTCTACCACCTTTACTCGAACTTGCTAGTCGGCTGCTTCATCTCCTTTGTGCCGGGCGGAGCTCCTGCTCCTGGCGGCAGTGGCACGTGTGCCAACAGAGAGGGCTCTGAATGCCGCCTCTGGCACGCGTGCCATAGGTTCGCCACCACTGCCCTAAAGACATCACTTTTTTTTTTTTTTTTGTAAACACGCTAGGCCAGGGCTCTTCAAACTTGGCCCTTTTATGACTTGTGGACTTCGACTCCCAGAATTCCTCAGCCAGGCTGAGGAATTCTGGGAGTCGAAGTCCACAAGTCATAAAAGGGCCAAGTTTGAAGAGCCCTGCGCTTGGCAGTACAGGCAACGCTCAACTTACAACAGTTTGTTTAGTGACTGTTCAGAGTTACAACGGCACTGAAAAAAAGTGATTTAAGACCATTTTTCACACTTACGACCGTTGCAGAATCCCCACGTTCACCTGATCTACATTGGGATGTTTTGACAACTGACTCATATTTATGACGGTCGCAGTGTCCCGGAGTTATGTGATCCCCTTTTGCGACCTTCTGACAAGCAAAGTCAATGGGGGAAGCCAGATTCGCTTAACAACCGTGTTACTAACTTAACCACTGCAGTGATTTCCTTAACAACTGAATCGGGGCAAGAAAAGTGGTAAAATGGGGCAAAACTCACTTAACAGATTTCTCGCTTAGCCACAGAAATTTTGGCTCATTCGTCGTAAGTCGAGGACTACCTGCGTTACAGTTTCAGTGGCGATGTTTCTGAGGTGCTCTTTACGTCATTTCAGTTTTCATAGACTTACCAAGGTTACCTTGGCTCTTTTATGACTTGCGGACTTCAACTCCCAGAATTCCTGAGCCAGCCATGCTGAGGGGAAAGAGAGAAGTTTCCAAGCTGAGCCATGCTGGCTCAGGAATTCTGGGAGTTGAAGTCCATGAGTCATAAAGCAGCCTAGGCCAGAGGTAGGCAAGCTTGGCTCTTTTATGACTCTTGGACTTCAACTCCCAGAATTCCTGAGCCAGCCATGCTGAGGGGAAAGGGAGAGGTTTCCAAGCTGAGCCATGCTGGCTCAGGAATTCTGGGAGTTGAAGTCCACAAGTCATAAAAGAGCCCAGGTTCCCCAGCCCTGGTCTAGTATAAGTACCTGTCCAGTGCAGCATTCCTGATGGCTGCTCTTCAGATTCTCTCCAGATGCCTCCAGGGAAGGGAATCTGCGGACTGGCTCATCACGGTAAACTTTCATGGTGTCCAACTGAGATCTCCTTTCTTATAATTTAAAGAGATTCTTTCTTAACCTGTCTTCTGAAACAACTGAACAATTCAGCTCTGTTTCTACATGTCAGCTCTTCAGATATTTGAAGTCACTCCCTGCTGTTTGTTTGCTCCAGGGTAACTATGCGCAGTGCTTCCAGTCATATTTTCCCCCCCAGAAATTTTACTCTTTACCATCTTGCTTGCTGCCTTCTAGATATGCCCCAGTTTGTTAATGTCCTTTCTAAAATGTGGAGTTCAGAACTGGATGTACAGGTAGTCCTTGATTTACAAATAGTTGCTCATAACCAAAGTTACAACATTCCCCGGGATTACTTTTAACCCAGATTCAAAGTTCCAACAGCTGAAGGGGGTGGGGAGCTCGGAAGTCATGTGATCGTATTTTGGGTGGTTAGCCACCCACCTGCATTTACAGCCACTTGCGGCATCCCGCAGTTATGTGACCGCAATTTATGATGGTTTTTGCTGGAATCTGACATTTACTTCCTGCAAATAGATTTGCTTAACAAACTCTGCAAAAGTCATACAATGGGATGCCGTCACGTGGAGACTTGCTTAATGAATGGCATGACTTATGACTGTAATTACAGACTCAGTGATGGTTGTAAGTCAAGGACTTCCTGTACTGTATTTTAAAAGGGGTCTAATCAACGTAGAATAAAGAGGAATAATAAGTTCTCTTGATCCTGACTCTGTCTGTTGATTCAGCCAATCACATTTGTTGGTTGAGCTTATGATCCATCAAGATCCCAGACTTTTCTTCTTTTTGTTGTCCTTGAAGCTTCCTAGCCAGATTTGGGACTTTGCATTTGTTCCTCTTGAAATTCCTATTTCTGGCTTTTGCCCTTTGTGGGCTAACTTGTCTAGATGAGTTTTACTATCCCTGCTTTGAGATCTAGATATGTAGATGAGCAGGCTGAGTAATTGATGCTCCAGACGGCCATCCAGATGCAGTTTTGCTAGCTTCTATTGCAGCGGTTCTCAACCTATGGGTCGCGACCCCATTTGGGGTCGATCGACCATTTCACGGGGGTCGCCAAGCAAGGCTGTCCGCCATTTTTTTCCCCTTTTCCGCCGGGTGCCTTACCTCCCTTGGGCTGGGCCAGCTGGTGGTCGGCCTGCTCCGTCTCTGCCGCTTGCCAGCTATGCCTCGGCCGGCGCAGGGGGCGGAACCACGCATGCACGGCGCTCCCAGGCAGGGAAAGTCCTTGACTTATGATCGGTTGGGTAGTCCTCGACTTACAACCGGTGTAGTCCTCGACTTACGACTGGTGTAGTCCTCGACTTACGACCGGTTGGGGGTCGCGGCATTAAAAAGGTTGAGAACCACTGTTCTATTGGTACAAAAAAACCTTACTTCTAGGAGCAGTTTTAAATCTCATTGCCGCACACCTAGGTACCATATTTAGGTTTAAACTAAATATGTAGTTGTCAGCTTGGGCTAAGGAGTTTTCTTCACATCTGAAGCCAATTCTTCATTTTGGTTCCGGTGATTGACACCTGGGCAGCAATATTTGTGTAGTGAACTCTCAAGATTAATCCAGAGCTATAAATTGGGTGCGGAGGAGCTCTCTCTTCCCCTGCATCCTTCCACGGGGCTACTGCTGTCACCTGCCACATCAGAGCCCTTAGAAGACCGGAGTGTTTCTTTCTTTGCCTTAGCATTTAACCTACGTGGTCCTTGGTCTGCTGTTCCACATGTTTAGAGCAGGGCTTTTCAACCTTTTCACCCACTGTACCACTTTTAGGATATGGCAACATCCGAGTACCACCAGTCTCCTAGCAAGGTGTCAAAAACTTGATGACCCCCCCCCAAAAAAGGAAAAAAGTGATAAAGTACAGGTAGTTCTCGACTTACAACAGTTCGCTTAGTGACTGTTCGAAGTTACAATGGCATTGAAAAAAGCCCCCCCTAAGCCACAGCTGAGCAAGACACCTGCCTGGCCGCCCGGTGGCGCTCTTCCTCCTGTCCGAGGTTTTCATTGTTGTGAGAATTTCTGTTGGGGATTGGCAGTGGGGGTGGGGTGGGTGGTGTTTGGTTTTTATTCCCCCCGTCTGCTGGGTGGTTGCAGCAGGCTTTGGTCACTTCACATGACCCTGGGACACTGACCGTCATAAATATGAATCACTTGCCAAGCATCTGAATGTAAATCACAAGACCCTGGAGAGGCTGCAACATTCCAGCTGATCGGTGCTTCTTCAGGGCTCAGCAGATGCACCAGGATCAGCGCCGAGCTCCAGCTGGAGCCTGGCGCTGATCCTGGCGCTTCCGCTGAGCCCTGACAGCCCCGAAGAAGTGCTGATCCTGGCGCTTCCGCTGAGCCCTGACAGCCCTGCAGCTCCAGCCGTCTCTTGCTCAGGCTTGTGCGGTGCTGCCACCGGTTCAGCTCATTCCCTTCCCACGCTACCACTTTTCTAGGATGGTCGCGTACCACCTGCCAGGTGCCAATGTACCACAGGTGGTACCCGTATCACTGGTTGAAAAGCCCTGGTTTAGAGCAATCAGCCACCATCAGATAAATGTTCTTTTGTCTTGTCCCAAAGGTATCTGGAATTACTTTGTTTTTCCTTGAAGACATTTTGCTTCTCGTTGAAGAAGCTTCTTCAGTTCTGACTGAATGGTGGACAGTGGAAAGATTTCTATTCCTTGCAGTCCTGTGGCCGTTAGCACTGTTTCTGATGGCCTTGATGAGTCTCAAAAAGAGTGCTAATGACCAGATGACTGCAAGGAATATAAATCCTTCCATTCTCCACCATTCAGTCAGAAGTGAAGAAGCTTCTTGGAAGAAAAGCGAAATGCCTTCAAGGAAAAACCAAGAAAGTCCAGTTGCCTTTTGAAAAAGCAGCTTTGGGACAATTGTGACCCAGATGACTGAGAATCTCCACAGACATTCCTTTGTCTTGATTTGTGAGAAATGCAGGAAATGCCGTCGCGCTTCCTTGGCCAAGCCTTTGTGAGCAGGCCCATAGAAAGTTATCCAGTCCTGGAATTTCCATTGTATCCTTTCATTTCTCCCCCAGACTACAAATCTTTTACCTGTGAGGAGTGTGGCAAAGAATTCACCAAAGGATACTTGCTGAAAAAGCATCAGGAAGTGCATGTGAACGAGCGGCGGTTCCGTTGTGGGGAGTGTGGCAAGCTGTACAAGACAATTGCGCACGTGAAGGGGCACAGGCGAGTGCATTCTGACGAGCGGCCCTATCCGTGCCCCAAATGTGGGAAGAGATACAAGACCAAGGTAGGAACTTCGTACCTTTGGGGGTTCCTGTTTTCTGAGACTCTTGGTGTGTTTGGCCCTGAACGGTTGCTGAACCTGTTGAAACCACCTGCATAACTTCAGAGGAGGGAAGACTAACAGAGAGGGGGGAAAGACTAGGGATTGTAATTCTGGAAGGACTTCAGGAAATGAAAGAGATAACGTGTGAAGGAAAGGAATAGGAAAAGCATTGAGAACAGGTCTTGCTCTGCTGCTTTGGAAGAGAAGGTGGCAAGTCCTTTCCTGACCTTTGCAGAAATTCCTGATTGAACTATTGCAGCCTCCTCTACCCGGGGCTATCCTTGGAGCATCTGGAGCCTGTAGCATCATGGGCAGTAGTGGGTGAGTTGCAGTAGCTATGAAACACCAATCTGGCCTCAGCTGGCTCCCAGTCAGCTTTTAGGAGCAATCAGGGTGCTGGTTATCACCTTTGAAGTCCTACCTGGCATGAGGCTGGGTTACTTGCAGGACCACCTATTATCCCCAGTGGTTTCTGCCCATCTGGATGGATTTGGCAGAATGGGCAGACTCCTGCTCTCCAATGGAGCACTGTTGCCTGGCGGCCTCTGGGAAGCCTGCCTTCTCTGTCCCCAGAGATACAGATGGACCTGACCCTGTTAGCCTTAGAAATGTGGTAAAAACCTGGGTTTTCCGACGGGCACTGGGGCGAGGATGTTAAAGAAGCTGGCATGGGGTAGTTGATTGGATTCAGATTTGATCAGGGTTTTAAATGTTTTTTTTTGTTTTAATTATACGGTGGTTTTGATTCTTGTTCACTGCTCAGTGTTTCTTCTGGTAGTTGGATGTCTGTATAAGTTTGGTAAAATGAGTAACTATTTGGAAAAAAAATCTCTTATTTAGCCTAGGAAATTATTGAATGATTTTCAACTGATCCCAGACATTTCTGGATAATGTTGATTTATCTGGATCGATTTTAGACTATCTTAGTATTGTTATGATAGCCCTGATCGATTGATTTCTACCAGAAAGCAGAAGTGGGAATCTCATTTAAATCTCATTAAAACGGCGGCTCTTTTTGACTGTACTCCTGCAGTCTGGGGTGGGGGTGGGAGGTTGGTCAATCAGTAAGAAAATTATGGCTATTTCATGATGCTTTGGGTTTTTTAGACATACCTATCAGTCTGTCTGCGTCCATCCATCCTTCCATCCAGCCATCTATCCATCAAAACCAAAATGGTGCTCGGCGGTACCTGTTCCAGCAAGATTATTTGCATGTGCTCCTGAAAGATAGGAGGTTTTTGACCTTAAACTGGATTGCATTTATATTGTGGGGAGGTTTGGAAGGTGACTCCCCTGTCCTCTTTCCCACAGAATGCACAGCAGGTTCATTTCCGAACGCACCTGGATGAAAAGCCGTACGTCTGCCAGTTCTGCAATCAAGGCTTTCGGGAAAAGGGTTCTTTGGTGCGCCACATCCGTCACCACACGGGCGAGAAGCCATTCAAATGTTACAAATGTGGCCGTGGGTTCGCGGAGCATGGCACCCTCAATCGGCACCTGAGGACCAAAGGTGAGCGGAGGATAGTTTGTCTCAAGGACAGGTGTGTGCGCCTCCCTCTGTCCTGGCTTCCAGTACAGAAGGTGTGTTCCATGCACTTCCGTCTGTCTCGGTCCCCCCCCCCCCCCGGGAGTCGCCAGCCGGCACTGTCTGGAACGAGCTACCCCCAGAGATCCGGGTGATTCCGGATCTCCCTTCCTTCCGCGGCGCCCTCAAGACATGGTTATTTCAGCAAGCAGGACTGGCCTAAGGGGAAATTTTTTAGTGGGGTTCTTAAACATTTTTAATTAATTATAGCCAATTTAAATATTTTTTTTTAACCAAGTTTTAAGGGGTGTCTTGGGGTGTATTTGTATTTTATTGGTTGTTAGCCGCCCTGAGTCCGTAAGGAGAAGGGCGGGGTAAAAGTCTAACTAATAAATAAATAAAATAAATAAATCTCTTTCAAGAGCTAACAGAGCTCCTGTTCTAAAGCATTTGAAGCTTCGTTAGTCCCAGTGGGAGGTAAGTACAGAAGCTTTTAAGAGGTTGAAAAATTTAGAGCCTTACGCTTTGTTAATGCGCAACAAAACATTTAGAATAAGAAAAAAGTTAATTTGCATAATAGCAATGCCCTACATGTGGTGTGCCTTGGGCACAGATAGTCCTCGACTTATAATCATTCATTTGGTGGCCGTTCAAAGTTGCAACAGCACTAAAAAAAAAAAAGTGATTTATCACTGCTGCCGCATCTGCATGGTCATGTGATCAAAATGTGGGTGCTTGGCAATTGGCATGTATTTATGGCAGTTGCTCTCTCCCAGAGACATGCAAACACTGTCTCTAACCTTCCCAGCTGGCTTCCAACAAGCAAAGTCAATGGGGGAAGCCAGTCTCACTTAACAACCGCACGATTCACTTAGCTGCAGTGATTGCTTAACAACTCTGGCAAAAAAAGACCGTAAAATGGGGCACAACTCGCTTAACTGTCTTGCTTATTTTTGGAAACTTTGGACTCTGTTCTGATCCTAAGTTGAAGACTACCTATATTGAATTATTTAAAGGTCCAGTTATTTAGCGTAAGCAGCTCTTCTGCATATTGATGTTGAACTTTTAATTAGGGAAATTCTTCCTGCCGTTCTTTTAATTGATGCTGAACTGCCTTTTCCTCCATCTTTCCCCAGGCGGCTGCCTGCTTGCCTTGAAAGAAGCTGAAGAAGCAGGGGCATCGGAGGAGGGCCAGTGTGCTGACCGTTTGGCTGCAACTGTAATCTCGGAAGACCCCCCTACAGTCCTGGTGGAGTTTTCCTCAGTGGTGGCAGATACGCAGGAATACATAATTGAGGTAAGCGCCTCTCACCGGGGAAGGCAGAGCCTTTTGTAAGCGATTAATATCGCAGCCCTGGAGACCTAAGGTGGGCCAAGAACTATGGAGACTCATCATGCACGCTCCTGGACAGACTAGGACAGTGATGGCGAACCATTAGAGACCGAGTTCCCAAACTGCAACACAAAACCCACTTATGCATCGTTGGGTGTCGGGTGGGTGTGGCCAATTGGGTGGGCGTGGCTGCAGTGGTAACGGCAGACTGGGTGGGACTAAAAAGTTCAATCAATCAATTCCAACTTTGCAAGATTTTTTTTTCCCGGGAGAAGTTGAAATTGACTGATTTGATTGAACCTTTTTTTTTTTTGCACATGGCGGCGGAGGTCTAAAGCGAAAAGGTTCTACAAAACCCAGCCTAGGACTGGCGATGGAGCGTGTGCCCACAGAGAAGGCTCTGAGTGCCGCCTCTGGCACCCGTGCCATAGGTTCGCCACCACTGGACTAGGAAGTGTATAAGGGATGTGGGCTGTGGTTGCCGAGGAGAGGGCTGCAGTCCTGAAGTGTCTTTGAATGGTTGAGGCTAAATTGTTGCTGTGCCTTCTTTCTTAAAGACAGCTTCTGAAGACATGGAAACCAGCGAAGCTGCTGAGATCATCGAAGGAAGCAGGCACGAGGTGGGTGGCTCTAAGGATGCTTCTGATGATCACAGCAACAACTATTTTCAGCCCTGGGAGGAGCGAGTCCTTCCCCCGAGTGCTAAATCCTCAAGTAACAGAGCCTGTGTAGGCAAGCAGAGCATGTGATGGATTTAGCCCTGGTAACTCCGGCAAGGAGCATCTCTAGCATGTCTCCATCCACCAGCCGCTTTTCTTCAGAGAAATCCCTTTCGGCCCTGGTTTATTTCAGTAGCCAGTGAAGCTGGATGGCCAATAAATTTAAATTTTAATGATAACTAGACAGAAAGAGACCCACTAAAGTCTGTTCCCAGGATGAGTTTGTTTGTTCATTAAGAATTCAAGTCTTAATAAATGTAATAATCTGGGTTGAAGGATTAGAAGGGAATCAAGAGGGGAAAGGAAAAAGATGAGTGGTTGTTCCCGAAGAGGCTAATCTCATCACTCGCCTCCCCCCCCCACCCTCAATCCTGGATCTCACACAATGCAGATACAGAACAAAATTTCAGGATTGAAATTTCTGATCCCCAAATTGGATAGTCCTTTCTAATTTGCCTGGCTCTCAGAAATGGAATTTCATCTCATTCGCTGTATTTCAGATTTTTCTGGGAATGTCTCAGAAAATTAATAACCTTAGGGGAAATTTTTGCTCAGAAAGCTCTCGTTTAGTGTGAGGCAAACCTAATAAAGCAGATGGTGAGTGTTCTCTAGTTCAGAATTGCCTGTTTGCCTGGGGACTCTCTTTAGGAACCTTGACAGAAATAACTAATCCTTTGTTGATTAGCTACATTCCTGTTGAATGTGGTGCTGGGACTGAGGTGGGGTCGCTTTCCTATTTTTTGGGTTGAACAAGCGGGGCTTTTGATTGGCTGGTGTCCTGGGAACCAGACATGCACTGCAAGAAGTTCAGCCTTAGAACCGCGTGCTGTCCACGGCTTGTGTTTGGACCAGTTTTCCTCCACACTAAGGAGTTAAACTGCACTAAGTAGCAAGATGCAACCCTGTCTGAAGCGTTGAGTCCTGATGCATGGGATAAACGAAGACAGACTAACTTTTTTCCCCCCTGTGCAGGTGGACAGTCACATAATGAAGGTGGTTCAGCAGATAGTAAACCAAGCCAATTCTGGCCATCAGATAATTGTCCAGAATGTCACGGTGGCAGACGATTCAACCATGACAGCCGACGGCGTGGACCCCGACACGATTGCCATAGCCACTCCAGAGAGCCTCACGGAGCAGGTTGCCATGACGCTGGCTTCAGCAATTGGGGAAGGGGCTGTGCTGGCCACAGAGGGCAGTGGGGAAGTGGAGGAAGCCACCGTGACCATGGTGGCATCCGAGGACATTGAAATAATGGAGCACACGGGAGAGTTTGTGATTGCAGCCCACGAGGAGGAGGAGGAGGAGGAGGAGGAGCTGGAAGTTCAGACTGTGATTGTCTAAGGCGCCCGGGGGCTTCAAGCGGGGACCTTTGCAGAGCAGCAGCCTGGCTGCACCCCCAGGTCCCAGATGACGCAAAGTTGTCCTAAGAGCCGGTTCGTGTGCTGCTTCTCACAAACGTGTTACGTGACATGTTAGCTGAGCCCTTGGCCACCTGTTCTGGTCAGGGAGCGTACCTAACCCTTCTGGACGTGGCAGCCTGTGGAAAGCAGGCAGTTGTCAAGTAAAGCACTTTAGAGGAAAAAATGTTGTGTGCAGGGATACTTAATTATGTGGCAGGGAGGGATTCCAGGCATGGGAGGAAACTCGGGGGCTTTTCATAGGAGTGTGGATTTTAAGCAGCTCAGGAGAAATATCAGCTTAGAAAACCAGGGGCTTTATTTGCATTGGCAGGATACTGAGAAAGGCCACATTGTACATTTTTGCAACCATGTAGCTTTTAATTATCTATTGTCTGATTTAACTTGTAAATATTTTTTTAAAAAAATAATTTTTACATTACTGTATTCTGATGTAATTAAAGGAAGAGTGCTGATGGCTTCAAATGTATCAGTGGTTATTTCTCTCCCAGGAATGTCGGTGTAATCTAGCAGGAGAAGGAATTGTGCAAGAGGGCAGCTTAAAGGCCTGAAACAGAAATTTAGGATGGGAGGAATGCAACCATAGAATTGACCTCTTAGAGGTTTCAAATACCCACATAATGCAGTTCGGGGCTTTACATAGTTCCCAGCTATCTGCAAAAGTGACTCTGGAGTGGGACTTCCTGATAATTTACTGCAGGAAATGAAACAGATGTAGGCATCCAGTCATCTTACCTCACCAAAAAAATATAATATAATAATGCAGACAAGCACCTGCCAACACTCCCAAGACTTAACAGTTGTTGATAAAAAAAAAAAGTCTGGATAGTGGACGTGGCATATCTGGAGACAAGAGAAAGAACTGGAGAAAACCATAAAATACTAAGACATGTAAATAGAAAATAGAACAGCTGTGGCAAAGGAGAGCGAAGATAGTCCCAGTAGTAATTAGCACCTTGGGTGCAATCCCAAAACATCTGGAGCAACATTTGGAACACGATTGACAAAAGTCCCTTCAGTCAATTGTAAAAGGCAGCTTGACACGGAACAGCTTAAATCCTGCAATGATGCCTTTTACACCATCAAACAACATCTGCTTTTCCCAGGTCCTTGGGAGGGACTCAGTAGGTGGATAAAAATGCCAAATCATGTCTAAACAGCTGCCTAACTGTGCGACCAACCACTTTCACCTCCACAATATCAATGTATCGCCTCATCCCTGGGGCTTTTTAGCAGGCAAACTTTAAAAAGTGCAAAGAATAGCACTCGGTGCTCACATTAACAATCTTCTAATATGTTAACTCATTTCCCACTTCTGAGTATTCATCATTTAGTTAGTAGACAGAATAAAAATTCATTCTACAGAAGGTAAGTTTGTAAGGTGCAAACTGTTTTGCCGGGTCCACGGGTGTGTATGTTGAGGGATTCACTTCCTTTTCTTTGCAGGACTTGTCAGAGGCGTCACAATTTCTGCCAGATTGGCCCAGACTCCTTTGGAGTAAATATTTTGATAGCCTTCCTGTCTGCTGTTTTGCTCTGAGTATGAGTGTGTATATCTTGCTGATTTAAGCCATTCGTTGCTCGTCTGGTTGGTCAGTACGAGATACAGGATGAAGCAGAAATAGGAGCCCAGTATAACCAACAGAAGGATGACAAAGCCCAGCACGAATACAATTCTAGGAAAGGTCAAGAAAAGATGCTGTGAAGAGAGGCGGAAACGAGTTAAAATCCAGATACACAGGATCTCCATTTCCCCTCCTAGCCTAGCCTAGCCAGTAATTCATTCTGGCAACATCACTTGCTAAATCTGAGTTGGAAGAGACCCCAGAGGTCATGTAGCCTAGCCTTCTGCTGAAGCAGTTTGGTCATATGGCTATCTCCCGTGAAGAATCACACAATCGGCGGTTCCACTAGTTGAGAGCTCTTAGGCTAAAACTGCCTTCAAGATTGTATTGACTGATTAGGAAGCAAGCAAAATCATTTAATGTCCTATCAAATATTTTCAAGTACTGTCTAAGACAAAGACGTGACTTCAATCTCTTCTACCCTCTCGGGCTTTTGAAATTCAGTCTTTGTACCCTCCCCTCATGAAAAAATGCACAAGTTAGTCAATATTTACCTGAATAAGAAAGAAGGTGTCAACTGAATGTTCTTGACCTTGGTCATCAGTATAATATCCCAACGTAAGATTTGACAAAAGGACCACCTGGATGAGGAAGCCGGCTGTTAGAGCTGCAATAGAAGCTGCCATGGAGATCAAAGTGAGCAGGTAGCAAAGGAAGAACCGGATGTTGAAGGCTCCAATACAGTTGTTGACCCAAACACAATGGTGATCAAAGCGATGTACGCAGCCACGGCATACGCCTGAGTGGAAAATGGAGGCCGAGGGTCAAGATTTTAAGAAATTATAATGAAACCGAAAGCCAAATAAGGCAGCATTTCGATCTAGGAGCAATAGCAAAGAAGGTTGGCTTTCGTGAAGGAGGAAAAACTTGGCATATCAAACTGCATCGATTTTTGATACTGCAAAGATTTAATCGGCTCTCCTCTTAACAGTTTTCTGAATATGACTTCCCAGTTTCATAAGAAAAGAGATTTAACAGCAAGTTAAAGAATACTCTGCAATGGAAATGAATTAATTACTGTAAATACTATAGGTCAGTGGTGGCGAACCTATGGCACGGGTGCCAGAGGTGGCACTCAGAGCCCTCTCTGTGGGCACGCGTGCCATCGCCCCAGCCCGTCTCCTCCCACGCCCCCTCCTCACCAGCAGCCCCCCCGGAGGAGAGTCGCCCCCGAGCACAGCCTGCGCAGAGCAGTGCAGCCAAGGACATGGCAGCTGGGCAGCGGGGACAAGACTTGACCCTTGCGCCCTGTCATGTGCAGATGATGCTGCGGGGCGCGGGCAGAGGGCATGGCCATGGTGCTGCTAGGCTGCCTGGGCGATCTGCGGCAGGCCGTGAAGGCGGTGGGTGGCCCTGCAGGTGAGCGGAGCGTGGAGCGGGGGTGGAGCGGGCAGGGCAGGGGCGGAGTGAGCGGGGGTAGGGAGGCAGGAGCAGGACCGGGTTTCGGGCACTTGGTCTCTAAAAGGTTCGCCATCACTGCTATAGGTAGTCCTTAACACCTGTTCGTTTAGTGACTGTTCGAAGTTACCCCAGCACTGAAAAAAAAGTGACTTATGACCATTTTTCACACGACAGTTGTACCATCCTTACGCTCGCATAATGAAAATCCAGATGCTTAGCAACTGGCTCATATTTATGACCACTGCTGTGTCCTGGGTCACGTGATCCCCTTTTGTGACCTGCTGACAAGCACGGTCAATGGGGAAGCCAGGTTCACTTAACAACCGTGTCCCTAACTTAACGACTGCAGTGATTCACTTAACTGTGGCAAGAAAGGTCATAAAATGGGGCAAACCTCACTTAACGGTCTTGCTTGACAACCGAAATCTGGGGCTCGGTTGTGTTTGTAAGTTGAGGACTATCCGCACTACGCTCCTTTCTATAGAGTTTCATTCCACATTAAAGACAGCAGTACATTAACTTGGCAGCCCAGATTTAAAATCTGATTTAGAGGATCTGTACAGAGGGACAGCAAAGGGATAACAAGTGAGAATTTATGTGTGTGGGGGGGGAGGCTTTCTCGGTGACCCCTTGGAGAGGGTTTCTGATCCTTCGATAGCCACTCCCCTCCCAGTGGACTTTGGGCAGGGTCCATTCCAACTGGTCCTTTCTGGGAAAGGTGTCATGCCTCCGTCCCAGCCGGAATCCGAGGACATGGAGCTGGAGCAGGACCTTGTTGATGCCCAGGAGGGGGTGTCTGTGGCTTTGGAGGACTGTGGGGAAGAGCAGGCTGAGGCAGGCCAGGGCCCTTCAGGTTTGGAACAGGGCAGGCAGAGTTCAGGTGAGAGGGAGGACAGCGGCCTGCCCCACTCCACAAGGCACACCTGGGGATTAAGATTTAAGGAGACGCTGTGGGGTGGGGCATTTGCCGGGAACAAACGTGGTATCTTGGGACCGTTGTGAATTGTGCTCTTCTCTTTGTTTAACCTGGATACCTTGAATATCGGACTGGCTGGTTTCCTGCTCTACTACGGCAGACTGCATTTCTGAATTTCTCCTTGCAGACTGTAGACAAGCTGGGATTTAAAAGGACTCATTAAGTTTCTGTTTTGTTTTCTTGTTATCTGTCTGGCCTTGAGCCAGAGGCCGCTGAAGGGAATGTGTGTGTGTGTGTGTGTGTGTGCTTCAGTTGAAGGCTTGCCAGCATATGTGGGAGCTTTTGGGGAACATTGGCAGTTAATAAAGGACTGTTTCTCTTGCCAGCTGACTGCTTTGCCTCCCTGCAGGGCCCTGGGTCATCAAAAAAGGTTCCTGATGTCCATCAAGCTGTCATTGAAATAAAAAAAAAACTGAAAAATGTTGACCCGGCCTCCCAGGCAGCAGAGGAAGCCAAGGCTGTAGTAGGGCACGTTTTTCGTTTTCTGTGGGAAAGGATGCCCTCCTGGGACAGAGTTCCTGTGCTCCGGAGAGCTGGGTGGAGGACAAGGCAGGTTCCCCACTGACCTCTCTCTAAATGACAGCAGGGTCTGGATCGGCAGCTCTGAAGCAGATCATAGTGCAGTGGTGGTGAACCTATGGCACGGGTGCCAGAGGCGGCACTCAGAGCCTTCTCTGTGGGCATGCGTGCCGTCGTCCCAGTCCTGGGCCTTCAGCTGGGTTTTATAAGGCCTCTGCTGCCATGTGCAAAAAAAAAAAAAGGTTCAATCAATCAATTTCAACTTCTCACGGGAAAAAAAAAGATCTTGCAAAGTTGGAATTGATTGATTGAACTTTTTAGTCCCACCCAGTCTGCCCTTACCATTGCAGCCACACTCACCCAATTTGCCACGCCCACCCAATGGGCCACTTACCCAATTGGCCACGCCCACCCAATGGGCCACACCCACCCGGCACCCGACGATGCATAAGTGGGTTTTGGGTTGCAGTTTGGGCACTCGGTCTCTAAAAGGTTCGCCATCACTGTCATAGTGCATCAATAGGCTTTCCAGGGACAGAGGCTAAACCGAGACTCTTACCGCAATGCCTGGATCTGGCGGGTTTTCTCACGGCACAGGTAGGGCATTCAGCATCTTGTTGAAACATCAGACCGTCGTATGCATACGCGTGAAGAAAGAGAAGCTGGTTGGCTTTGGTGATGATACCTTGTGGGAAAAAGCAAGGATTCTTACTAGCAGAACAACGCAGACTGCAAGGGGGTTTTAATTACTTTTAAATTGGACATATTTAAATATTTCGTTTTAATCAAATTTTAATTAAGTATGTATATATGTTAGTATTTTATTCAATTGTCAGCCGCCCTGAGTCCGTAAGGAGAAGGGCGGGATATAAATGCAATTAATAAATAAATAAATAAATAAAATGTCTTGGCTGTGGTGAGATTTCCTTCCTGCCATCTACTGCAGGGGCCCCCAACCTTGGCAACTTTAAGGCCTGTGGACTTCAACTCCCAGAATTCCCCAGCCAGCATCGCTGGCTGGGGAATTCTGGGAGTTGAAGTCCACAGGCCTTAAAGTTGCCAAGGTTGGGGACCCCTGATCTACTGTACCTGAAGTACCATAAAGTTAACCTTGAGGGTCCAGATCAGAGACCAAATCCGCTGTTTTCCTCTGAAGCAAATCTTTCCTGCTCTGTACGAAAGAAGCGTCTGTGGGCTGCTCCTCACATCCCTTCACTACAGCAGAGAGAGGCCCAGCTAATTGCACTTACGCATCCTTCCTCCATCGGATTCCCAACCAGCAGCTGAGGCAATTTAAGTTGTTTACACGAGTGCCAGTTTTAAAGCACCGCTTCCCTTCTTTGTCCTACAAAATGACTGGATGCATTTGGACATACTTCAGTGATATGGCTTCCGACCAGAGGAATGGCATCTACTCAGCTACTTTGGCCAAGTTAGGCTCTGGGTCACATCCCTTCCGGAGCCAGTACTATTCAATCCTGATATTAATAATCTGGATGATGGGACTCACAGGTTGATGATCAAATCTGGCCCGTGTTCAGAAATTGCCCAGGCGACCACGAATTTGTACCCTCCTCTGGATCTGCAACTCAGTTCAAATTCAGGTCACTTGACTGATAATTAAACCCACCTGTCAGAACCCATTTCTATTTCATTTCTATCTATCTCCTCTGATCTAAAAACAAATCTCACCTTCCCTGGGTTCTGCCATTCTCCCAAGGGGGAGGGGGGATGTGCCTGCGGGGTTATTGCTTTCGTTTCCTCTATTAGCTACAATGTAACCTTTTGCTTTGTTTATTGCCTTTGTGTCCCCTGCCCGCTACAATGTAACAATTTGCTTCCTGCGCTATGTCTCTCTCTGAACATTATCTTCCCAAACTGTCAGCTAGAACACGGGAGGAAATAAGGGATGTAACCCAGTGCCTGGTTTATTTCTGCGATCTCAGAGGAAGGCGTGAAGAAGCCGCTGACCATCACTGTGTGAACTGGAGACGGGCCAATGTTATCTCCCCTTTTCCCACGATGGACTTAACACCTGGGGATTGGCCATCCCATACCGGACGGGCGGACTATGGGATGGGGTCTAGTTTGGAGATACCTTAATCTATCACTCTGCACGGGAAATCTCAGATCCTGTCTATTATGCCTGCTATCAACTACTCTTAATAAAAGTTCCTGTTGGAAGAAATCGTTTCCAAGAGTTCTGCTTTCTTAAGATGTGGGATTGAAGTGGGTCCTTACACCACCATTCTAAACCCTACCCACCCTCATTCCCCCCACATTAGGGAGGGAGGTACTGCTTGTGCAGCAGCCAGCAGAAGAGGAAGCAACGGCAAACGTAGTCTGTTTGCTTTTGCAAGTCATTAGCAGACTGTGATCAAACTCTTTACAATTTAATCCTCTTTCTCTCTCTCAAATTAGAGTACAGGTAGTCCTCGACGTACGACCACAACTGAGCCCAACATTTCTGTGGCTAAATGAAGCATTAACAGAGGGATAGAATCAAGATCACGTGAAGTATTAATACCACTTTACAATGCCTTGGTAAGGCCACACTTGGAATACTGCATCCAGTTTTGGTCACCACAATATAAAAAAGATGCTGAGACTCTAGAAAGAGTACAACAGAGAAGAGCAACAAAGATGATCAGGGGACTGGAGGCCAAAGCATATAAGGAACGGTTGCTGGAATTGGGTATGTCTAGTTTGACGAAGAGAAGGACGAGGGGGGACATGATAGCAGGGTTCCAGTATCTCAGGGGCTGCCCCAAAGAAGAGGGAGTCAAGCTATTCTCCAAAGCGCCTGAAGGCAGGACAAGAAGCAACGGATGGAAACTCATCAAGGAGAGAAGCAACCTAGAACTAAGGAGAAACTTCCTGACAGTGAGAACAATTAACCAGTGGAACAACCTGCCTCCAGAAGCTGTGCATGCTCCAATACTGGAAGTTTTTAAGAAGAGCCTGGACAGCCATTTGTCTGAAATGGTGTAGGGTTTCCTGCCTGAGCAGGGGGTTGGACTAGATGACCTCCAAGGTCCCTTCCAATTTATTATTATTATTATTATTATTATTATTATTATTATTATTATTATTATTATTATTATTATTTAAGTGAATTTTGCCCCATTTTATGATTTTTCTTGTCACGATTGTTAAGTGAACCCTTGCAGTTGTTAAGTTAGTGACGTGGTTCTTAAGTGAACCTGGCTTCCCCGTTGACTTTGCTGGTCAGAAGTTCGCAAAATGGGATCACATGGCCCCCCTGGGACACTATGCAACCGTCATAAATATGAACCAGTTGCCAGGCGTCCAAATTTTGATTACGTGGCGGTGGGGAGGCTGCGACGGTTGTTAAGTGCGAAAAATAGCCTTGACTCACTTTTTTCAGTTCTCTTGTAACTTTGAACAGTCACTAAATGAACTGTTGTAAGTCGAGGATTACCTGTGTTGAATTTTAAGATATCTGCAGAAATCAAACCTTCTTGGAGAGTTAGAACTACCCTGCTCAATACTGACTCGAGTATAGCCCATGAATACCTCTGATGCTTTCAGCTGGCCAAGCAGCAAAATCCTACTGTCAAAGGATTTGTTTTAATGAAACCCATCTAGAAGTCAAAAACGTTTCTTGTAGATTCCAGATCTTGAAATTAAGACTTTTAATTGATCAGGACTATAACAACAGACATGCAGTATTCATTTCCCACAGCAGTTTGACACACTAAATAGGCCGATGTCCCCAATTCACAGGAGGATGTAAAAGAATCGTTCGTTCTGAAAGCTCACATCTAAAGCCAACTTGATGTGTGAACTTGTAGTATTACAACTTTTATGTATCCTAAACAGTGTGCCGCTATAGCTGGAGTAAGTCAAGAACTGCCTTTGGAGTCAAATATGTGACATTTTAATCCCCCATTTATTAAACTGTAAGAGAGCAAGCTAAATTGTTGTTTGTGAATATACAAAACCCATGTAAGTTCACGAGAACTGCCTCGCAGAATTGCAGAATCTTTGAATTACAGACCAAGTAGTTTTGTTCTTTGTATAAGCCATTATTGCAACATTTCCTAACACTGGATTATTTCATGGAACTCGTGTTAACTTGTAACATCTACACCTTTGGATAGGAATTCAGGTAGTCCTCGACATACAAGAGTTCATTTAGTGACCATTCAAAGTTACAACAGCACTGAAAAAAGCGACATAACCATTTTTGATACTAACAACGGTTGCGGCATGGTCATGTGATCAGAATACAGACCCTGGGCAACTGACTCTGATTTAGGACAGTTGCTGTGTCCCAAGGTCACCTTTTGTGACCTTCTTATGGTTATTAAGTAAACCAGATTTACTTAATAACCGTATCTTCACAACTGCAGTGATTCACTTAACAACTGTGGCAAGAAAGGTCATAAAATGGGGCAAAACTCACTTAACAAATGTCTCACTTAGCAACAGAAAGTTTGGGCTGAATTGTGATCGTACGTCAAGGACTACCTGTATGTCAGCAATCAGGCTCTTGAGTACGTACATCAGCTAAGACTCCCAGCAGTATTCAAGCTTTAAGGTAGAACTACCGGTGTGGAAAGAGAACAGGCTTTACCCAAAACCAGTGGTGGCGAACCTAGGGCATGGGTGCCAGAGGCGGCACCCAGAGCCCTCTCTGTGGGCACGCGTGCGGTCACCCCAGTCCTAGGCCTTCAGCTGGGTTTTATAAAACCTTTTCAGGCCTCCGCCACTGTGTGCAAAAAAAAAGAAAAAAAGGTTCAATCAATCAATTTCAACTTCTTGCGGGGAAAAAAAAGTTCTTGCAAAGTTGGGATTGATTGATTGAACTTTTTAGTCCCACCCAGTCTGCCGTTACCACCGCGGCCATGCCCACCCAATGGGCCACACCCACCCAATGGGCCACACCCACCCGGCACTCGATGATGCATAAGTGGGTTTTGGGTTGCAGTTTGGGCACTCAGTCTCTAAAAGGTTCGCCATCACTGCCCCAAACCATTGCTTGCTCAGTCCACAGCCAGACAGCAGGTAGTGGGGCACCGTCAACCGCCCGCCCAGGACAGTGCCAGTGTTCAAGAGCTGGGCTTGCAAGGAAAAGGGCCTCACCTGGATTACTTTTGGAGCAGAGGATGAAGAAAGCTGTATTCACAGCCAACAGGAGGTAAGGAAGAAGGAGGACAAGCCTGCTGAACTGCAGCTCTTGGCAGTAGCCGAACACTTCCCAGGTATACTCGCCATAAACCAGCCCTTCTAAGACCAAGTGCAAGACCACAAAGAAAGAATTTCTGCAGCAAGGAGAGAATGAGATGTGTTTCTTCTCCCCGCTTTTCAGGGAAAGGGAACTGCCTCTGACCCGAGTTTGCCTATCGGGCCTCAAAACCTGTTCCGTGGTTTACAATCCTAACTCCCAACTCAATACAGACGCCTTAGGTCAGGGCTTTTCAACCTTTTCACCCATTGTACCACTTTTAGGATATGGCAACATCTGAGTACCACCAGTCGCCTAGCAAGGTGTCAAAAACTTGATGACCAAAAAGAAAAAAGAGGAAAAAAGTGATAAAGTACAGGTAGTCCTCGACTTACAACAGTTCACTTAGTGACTGTTCGAAGTTACAATGGCATTGAAAAAAGTGCCCCACAAGCCACAGCCGAGCAAGACACCTGCCTGCCCGCCCAGTGGCGCTCTTCCTCCTGTCCGAGGTTTTCATTGTTGTGAGAATTTCTGTTGAGGATTGGCAGTGGGGGTGGGGTGGGGGGGTGTTTGGTTTTTATTCCCCCCGTCTGCTGGGTGGTTGCAGCAGGTTTTGGTCACTTCACATGACCCTGGGACACTGTGACCGTCATAAATATGAATCAGTTGCCAAGCATCTGAATGTAAATCACAAGACCCTGGCAATGCTGCAACATTCCAGGTGATCGGCGCTTCTTCTGGGCTCAGCAGACGCACCAGGATCAGCGCCGAGCTCCAGCTGGAGCCTGGCGCTGATCCTGGCGCTTCCACTGAGCCCTGACAGCCCTGCAGCTCCAGCCATCTCTCGCTCAGGCTTGTGCGGTGCTGCCACCGGTTCAGCTCATTCCCTTCCCACACTACCACTTTTCTAGGATGGTCGCGTACCACCTGCCAGGTGCCAATGTACCACGGGTGGTACCCGTACCACTGGCTGAAAAGCCCTGACTTAGGTGAATTCACTTCACCTACCTGGCAGCTGCATGCGCATAGCAGACCAAGGCTGGTTCCGCTTTTTGTAGTTTTAGGGTGGCGTGTTTATTAATTTCTTTGGCTTGTATCATTTCCAAAGACCATCCCCTCAGAAGCATCCAAATGGAGGAACTTCTGCTGTTGCACTGAGTGGCCCAAGGAATCAGAAGGGGAGCTAGGACCACAGAATGACCGCCATTTTGCTCTTAGCTAAAAAGCTTGGTGAAGAAAGGCCTCCTTTGTTCCGTACCTGCTCTGGAGCTACAAACAGAAGACCGGGAGGGTCTAGTTCCTGAGAGGATGTTGTGAGAATGCTGAATGTATTACAACTGTTTTCCAGGCTTCTTGCCATCGCGGGAGCAATTTCTTTCCAACAAGTCAAAGATACTGAAGAAAGAGGACAGTAGTCCAGCAGACCCCATCCCAAGCAAAATTTAAAGATCAATGTGATACCACAAAATTGTATGCCATATAAAACTAGGAGGCGAGTATGTAGAAGGGACATTGCAAGTCTGAACAACACTGGAAACCATTTTACCGAGCTAGGATGTTCCAAGGGCCCATTAATGCCAATATTCACAAATGCCAGAGAATGGAGCCAATAAAAAAGCAGACGGGCAGTACCGTGTGTGGAAGAGTCCATGAATTGCCTTTTGACCTGCTCTGTGAACTGGAGCTGGAATCACATAGGAGAACACCTGCATCAAAGGAGACAAAACAACAAAATTATTTTAAAAAAAGAAAAGGTGCAGACAAACTCACTCACTCACAAAACCTGCAAGGTCATTGCTCCAGAACCCTCAGCAACTGAAGGCAGGAGACTCTAGCAAACTGCCGAATGTCAGCCTTGATGCTAACTTTCAGGTTGTTAGTTGTCAAACGGCAATTAAAGAGGCCCTAAGATGGAAACAGTCATTGCTGAACCAATCCTCCACATCTTTAGAAAAGAAGAGGATAGGGAACCATGATCCCATCATCAAGGACAGACTGCCACTACCCCACAATTCTTTCAGGATATTTTGTTTTGTTTATATTAGTATCCTACATCAAATGATGTCATCTACTGGGAACTCTCAAGTTTCCTCTTTCCGCTAGGTATTCAAGATGGACAGTGATTAATATTTATATGTATTTATATGTAGGGATGTAGGTATATACATATGTAGTATATAGCATGTTTATATGTGTTATGTATTTGTACACTTGTGAGAGCAGGCAACAAAAAATTCATTTTTAATGTGTGCCACAGTAAAAAATGACAACAAAGGTTATCTATCTATCTACTGAAACAGCATCTCCCCAGGGACCCAAACAGCTCCCATCTTAATAATAATCTTGATATTTAAGACAACATTGATCATTCTGGTTGCTGACTTCTGGCAGTGCTTGGATAGGAAAAGTGTAACCATCATGATACAAGTTAATCTCTCAGTAATTTTCAGTATCATCAGTTCGGGTTTCCCTCTGGACTGTATGCAAGGGCTGAGTGTGGGATTCATGGTGTTCTCCTTCTTCTATGGATAGGTCTAGTTGGAGATTATGGGGAGGGGGAGAAGTAACCAGAGATCCCTCATGTTGGGTACATGAGGGCTCAATGCTCTCATCCCTTCTGTTTAACATCCACATGAGGTTACTGGTGAGGCCATTGGTTTGTGGGATACATATGCATCTTAAGTCACAGCCAGGTGATGCTATCAAGATTGTCCCAGTGTTTGGAGAGGAACAGCCTTAGAAAGCATGGGTCCTAGTCTTTAAAACACTGTCCTTCCTGAGATTTGCATGGACCTCCCCCTGCCTCTTTTCAAAGAAGCCTTTTGAGATCTGGCTGTATCTCCAGGTCTTGGGTTAGAGCAGGTGACAGATCCATTATATGGTATTCTTGTTTTAAAATTGTTTTTCCCCTGGCTTTGTGATAATGTTTTGGGTTTTCATAGTATTTATTTTTGTACTTTGTAAGCTGCCCAAAGTTGAAACAGATTGGGGCAGCCCATAAATTTCATAAGTCAATAAATTCATTTCAGGAAATAACATACAAGAAGCATTTCCATCTTCTTCCCTGAAAGGGGCTGATGTCCATGCTAAAGGAAAAGATTCTGGGAATTTTGCTTCTACAGGTAGTTATCAACTTACAACTGCAATTGAGCCCAGAATTTATGTTGCTAAGTAAGAAATTTGTTGAGTTTTGCCCCATTTTGCAACTTTTCTTGCTACATTTGTTAAGTGAATCACTGCAGTTGTTAAATTAGTAACATGGTCGTCAAGTGAATCTGATTTCCCCATTGACTTTGCTTGTCAGGTCACAAAAAGAGGATCACCTGACCCTGGGACACTGCAACCGTCACAAATACACAAGTTGCCAAGTGCTGGAATTTTGATCACATGACCGTGGGGATGCTGCAATGTCAAAAGTGTGAAAAATGGCCATAAGTCACTTTTTTCAGTGCTGTTGTAACTTTGAAGGTTGCTAAATAAACTGTTGTAAGTCGAGGACTACCTGTACTTCGTATTAGAGCAGAGACTGCAAATGAAGGATGGGATGGAGGTTGACCTACAAAATGGTGGAAGGAGGAGCAGCTATAATGCTGGGCTTTCCTTTCTTTCTCCCCAAGCAAAAGTTAACTGTCCAGAGGTGTGCAAGTCTAAAGGGCGGTATATAAATTTGATAAATAAAAATAAGATAAATGACTGGACTGGGGTCCAAGCCAGAGGTGTGAAGATTTGTGTTGGAAGGGCAGAAAGCGGCACACAGCTGGATGACCCTTACTTGCGTTGTGCCCCTGATGAGCCTCCAAGAGAAGCTTTGCTCCCGTCGGGAGGAGATGCAGACCGCCACGCTGAGCAGCACCAGGCCGAGATACAGGCCGAAGAGGATCACAAAGTCCATCTTGCCCTGCAAAATCCATACACGCCTTAGCACAGTGGTGGCGAACCTATGGCACGGGTGCCAGAGGCGGCACTCAGAGCCCTCTCTGTGGGCACGCGCGTCGTTGCCCCAGTCCTAGGCCTTCGGCTGGGTTTTATAAAACCTTTTTGCTTTAGGCCTCCACCGCCTGTGCAAAAAAAAAAAAGTTCAATCAGTCAATTTCAACTTCTCGCGGGAAAAAAAAAGATCTTGTAAAGTTGGGATTGATTGATTGAACTTTTTAGTCCCACCCAGTCTGCCCTTACCACTGCAGCCATGCCCACCCAATGGGCCACACCCACCCAATGGGCCACACCTACCCAGCACTCAAGGATGCATAAGTGGGTTTTGGGTTGCAGTTTGGGCACTCGGTCTCTAAAAGGTTCTCCATCACTGCCTTAGCAAGTTGTGGCCCGGTGCCTAATTTCCCCTTTGGGGCCAAGGAGACCTGCCGAGTGTGGCTTCCACATCGGTGCCCCTGGGGAGGTTCAGCAGGGCTCCGTCTGGGCGCACCTCCCCGAGGGGGGAGCAGGGCTCGGTCCCCCTCCGGCCATGGTTTGCGTGGAGGCCTTCAGGGCGAAGCAGGAATGGGCTGCAGGGCAGGCAGGGGTACAGGTAGTCCTCAACATACGACCATAACTGAGCCCAAAATTTCAGTTGCTAAAACAAGACAGTTAAATGCATTTTGTCCCACTTTACGACCTTTCTTCCCACAGTTGTTAAGCGAATCACTGTAGTTGTTTAGTTAGTTAGCACGATTGCAAAGTGAATCCGTCTTCCCCATTGACTTTGGTCGCAAAAGCAGATCACATGACTCCAGAACACGGCAACTGTCATAAATACGAGTCAGCTGCCAATTGGCTGAATTTTGATCACGTGACCAAGGGAATGCTGCCACAGTTGTGTGAAAAATATGTATTTTGTGTATGCCACTGTAACTTCAAGCGGTCACTAAACGAACCGTTGTAAGTCGAGGACTACATGTATCTTGCGCCCCCCCCCCGCCGTTCCTGCCAGCCGCACCTAAGGGAGCCAGAGCGGCGAAACAGGAGGCGGGCCCGGCCGCTTCCTGCCCGGAGCCCCCAGAAGGGCCGCGCAGACTCTCTGGGCTGCTCGCCGGAATCGGGAGAGGCTCCACCGCCGCCCGGTCTTATGGCGGCCGCGTCGTCGAGGCGAGGCCCCTCGAGAGCCATTTCGAGGCCCCCTCCTTGCAACCCCCCCCGAGGCAGAGGAGCCCCCTCCCAGGAGAGACGAGGCGCCCCCGCGTCGCTTAGCAACAGACCCGCGACCGGCTCTTTCGCTCACGTGATTCCCCGGAACGGGCGCCGCCATGACGGTCCGAGGGCGGGGGCGGGGCAAGCGATTCTCCAATCCTCGAGCTCCGAGGCCGCCTGCCCTCGTGACGTCACGCGCTCGCGCTGGAGAAGGCAGGATGGGAATTGTAGGAGCTGCTCCGTGGCCGCCGGGTCGCTGCGTTGAGGCTTAATTGGGAAGCGCCATTAGAATCACGGCGGTCGGTGAAGGATCGGGTGCCTTTTGGTGTCGGTCTGCGCGGTGCTTCCAGGGCTTGTTTAAATAAAGGAGAAAAAAAGATTGTAACAACCAGCCAAATATGAGCGCCAACGACCAGATGACTGCAAAGAAATATCATCCTTCCAACCCCCCCCCCCATATTCAGTCAGAAGTAATCCTATTGCCCCCCCCATCCTGCCAGAACCGATGAAGCTTCCTGGATGAGAAGCGAAACGTCTTCTTTTTCCTCAAAGGAAAAAAAAAACTTTTTCCTCAAAAGAAAAAAAAATAACAGTCCAGTTGCCCTTTGAAAAAGCACCTTTGAGACGAGCAAAAGATAAATACAAAATGTAAAATGTGCCACCTGGCAGGCACCAGAGCAGAAAGGAAGGCACTCCTGGGCCCCACCAGGTGACCCATGGCCCCCAGACTAGGCCCCTCTGGCCGAACCCACAGGAAGACATGACCTGCAAGCATGGACTTCGGAATCGGAGCTGGAAGGGATCTTGGAGGTCTTCTAGTCCAGCCCCCTGCTCAGGAGGGACAGACACTGGCAACTGGACAGGAGGGCAAATGGGCAAGGAGAGGAGGACTCATTAGCTTTTGAATTTCTTTGGCCTCCGTGACAAAACTTACAGCGGAAAACTATTATTAAAAAATTCTTAGGCCTACATGCCTATAAAATGACTTTTTCCAGCATCAGCAAGAGTTGGTTCTTCAATCACAGTATTTTTCAACTAATCTTTATTTTCAAGGACATACACGAACAATAATCTAGAATTGACAACGTTCCAAATTTCATGATGACGAGTCAAGTGATTGTATATGGAAAAGGGGCTGGATTGAAGCTGATTTCTGGAATCAGGAAATAAATAACACGAATCTAGACTGTTGCGTCTGTGGATGGACTAGGAAAAGAAAGACACAAAACAATTTACAAATTTCACAATATGTGAATGTTTGAATGGAACTGAAAAAACAAGATACTCCAAAACTTGGACAGCATTTGATTCTAAGCTATGCCTCCTGGATGGAAGACATGAGGACTTAACAGGACAGAGGATACCTCCTCTTTTGCCATACATCTGGTAACCCGACTCTTGCATGGCTGCAGCTGACCTGTGATGGGCCGGAGGGATGGTCAGCTCCTCCTCTGCCCTTCAGCCATGGGACTGCTTTGGCTGTGCTTTGATTCGGAAGGGGTCAGCCAGGTGGCTCCATGGCTCACTCATTTTGGAGGCTGAAGCCTTCCGGCCATCCCAATTGTGTGCCACTACAATTCGCATAAACTGCTTCTAAGGTGCGGCCCACAGTGAGTGTGCAAGGGAGCAGCCCCTCCATCTCCCTCAGCTGCTGAATCTTTCAGTCCCTCTGCTTCCCATCCACCCCAGACCTTGCCTGTCTCTTCCTGGCTAGACTGGGCTGCAAAAGATGGCCCTATTAGATTACTGCACGGGAGACTATTTGCCATGGAAACTCAGCCCGCTTGCCCCATGGCGCTGTAACTGATCCAGGAGCTCCGAAGCTCTGCCGGAGTGCTCCTTCCCAGCCACCGGTGCTGTTCGGCCTTGCAGGAAACAAGTACGGTAAGCTGTCAAAGGGGGAGGGGGACGAGGGGAGAGAGAAGCTCTTGGCAGTCCTCATCTTCCAAAATTGGACTTTTTCTACATTAATCTCCTTGAAGTCTACATCTATATCATTTTCTTGACATCTTCTGCAATCTTCTGACTTCCTGTCTAGCTTGCCACCTAGCCACTCTTGATCCAGCTTTGTTGCTGAGGCTAGCCAGGTACTGTCACCTGCTGAGATTCTGGCACTCGGCACTACAGGTCGTGCTTGTTTAACAACCATAATTGTGACCGGCAACCTTCTTGTTAAGCGAAGTGGTCACTGACCAAAACTGTGCTCGGTTTTCCTTTGCTTCACAGACTTACGAAGATCACAAATGTGAGTATTGGTCATACGGTTACTTTTTCATCACCATCACAACTGTGAACAGTCACTAAATGAGGACTACCTGTACACCTTTGAGGTATGCACAGAACAATGCAGTCTTGCGAGAAGCTCTTCTGCGGATCTTCTGGGTGCAGACTGCTGAAGAGCAGGCAGATAAAGATGCCATTTATGGCCTAAACTCTGGAAGTGCTTCGGGGCTGAAATTGGTCACTCATAGCTTGAGGAGGAGATTCCAGCTTCCTGAGCCCCTGGCCTAGGTCATCTGGAAGGAAGAGGGCTGGAATGCTCCCCTCCAACCTCTTAAGCCCTAAGGCAGTGATGGCGAACCTTTTAGAGACCCAGTGCCCAAACTGCAACCCAAAACCCACTTATTTATCACCGGGTGCCGGGTGGGTGTGGCCGCGGTGGTCATGGCAGACTGGGTGGGTGGGGCCAGGGCGGCGGGGGCCAGTCCCTTGCCATCTCCGGGGTATGGCACATTTGCCCACAGAAAGGGCTCTGAGTGCCGCCTCTGGCACGCGTGCCATAGGTTCGCCACCACTGCCCTAAGAAGCCAAGTTTGCTCTCATTGTTTTTTAGCCAGGCCAACCCAATAGGATCCTTCTCCTGAGCTTAGGAACATGGAGGAAACTTGCTCTCCATCACTCCCAAGTAGTGGGGTGTAGGTGTTGTCTGTCTGAATCTGGTCCTGGACCACCTAATCCAGTGGTGGCGAATCTATGGCACGGATGCCAGAGGCGGCACTCGGAGCCCTCTCTGTGGGCACACGTGCCGTTGCCCCAGCCTCGCCTCCCCCGTGACCCCGTCCTCTACAGCAGCCCCCCCTGGAGGAGAGTCACCCCTGAGCATGACCACGCGGAGCAGTGCAGCCAAGGACATGGCAGCCAGGCAGCGTAGACAAGATTCTGCCCTTACACCCCATCGTGCACAGTTGATGCTGCAGGGCGCGGGCAGAGGGCGTGGCCACCATAGGGATGCTGGGCTGCCTGGGCGATCTGCAATGGGCCCTGGAGGCGGTGAGTGGCCCTGCGGGCAGGCGGCGCAGGGGGTGGGGGGCGGAGCGGGGGTGGGGCCAGTTTTTGGGCACTCGGTCTCTAAAAGGTTTGCCATCACTGACCTAATTTAAACTCTTCCTCATTGCTCCTCCAAGGCTTTGAAAAATGGGCTAAGGCAGCAGTCCCTCACCTTTGTGGCTGGCGTCCCAGCTTGGAGGGGGGGGAAGAGGGGAACTGGGCTGTGTGAGCGCAGCTCAACGCATGTGAGTGGCACACACGTGCACACAGCTTGATTACAAGTACAGCTGCGTAGCATGAGTGTGTGCACCAGCTACCATTCATGCGAGTTGAGATGTGTGCACGGGCATGTGCGCCAGCCCACAGCCTGGTTGTGGGTCATGGCTGGGAGGTTGGGGACCCCTGTGGTAAGGGAAAGATGCTTCGCACCAGGAGACACTTTTTGAGCTGCTTGGTTTTGTCCAAAGAAGGGCGAGTTGGAAGCTATGAAGAAGCTCTATT